TCATACAGAGAGGTCTGCTGATTCCATAAGATCCTACAAGGAAGGCAGGCAAAGTGCTTTAAAATGTTCTACTTTTATTTTATATTGTAGCCACAGAGTATAATGGGTTATACTGAAATTATATTGGATAAAAAACACAAAATACAACATGTTTATAAAGTGTTTCACAATGCAAATGTGTGTCACATTTGCATTTTGCCATTAAACCAAGTGAGCTGCCTTTAGAAGTAACTACCTTCTTAGTTTGTTCCCATGTTAATGTCATTTAATATCTCAGATTAGCCAAAAAGTGGGTTATAATTGATGGGAAGATGGAAAGAGCGAAATACTTGGCAATCTATGAAGAGTATCTGGCAGTATGGGCATAAACCCCCAAAAAAACAAAGATTAGAGTGAAATAGCTTGGATTGAAGCAGATTTCTGCCCAAGTTTAGGTCCAGACATTAATTTAAGGCAAAACTTGACCCTGATGTTAACAGGTGTTAACTGTCCAGCCTGACTTATTTTCAGCTAATTTTACAAAGAATAAAAGGCAAGTCTACAGATGTTCAACAACTAATTTAGATAAGTTTCTGTCTAAAGAGGCAAATATTTTTTTAACAAAATATATTTTAAAATATCTTTCTTTCTATTTTACTGAGATGGATGTGTAGAAATCACAATAAAGCAGCAGGGAAGAGCCATATAAAGCAGAGTTTTGCCTCCAGCTTTAGTCTGTCTGCTCTCTTTCCATCATGCATGATCTCAGTCATTCTTAGACTATCTGGATATAACACTACAAAACAACTCCTGTGGTATTCCTCTTCTTTTTCCCCCCATGTAAGACGGTCCTCTTTTCTGTTTGGGGGTTTGAGGTTTATGCACTCCCAATCAGCCTGTCCATTAGGTAGACATGCACAACATGTTCATTACAGAATCCAAATGTCTGCATGCAAATGAGCTTAAACTGCAAAGTACTACAAATTCCTTGATTTTAAGAGGAGGAACGTGTGGAAGTCAGCCATCAAAAATGCAAGTTCTGGGTTGTCCATTTTATGCTGATGAAAACCACGGAGAGGAGCAGTACAAAGGATTAACCTAATCAGGATGTCTTTTTGATGTTTTGATGTAACGCTGAGACACTCAAATGTGAAAATTACTAATATAAATTCCATCCGTGGTGTGCAAGCCTTCAAGGAGAGTTCCTCTTCTGTCAGCTGAAGCCTTTTGTCATGAACATTAAAACTTTTCCTGCTTGAAATAAAATTAAAAAAATAACTTTTTTTTTTTTGTGCCAGAATTGCTAAAAGCTAGATACGCAACAGACAGATATGACACTTTCATTCTCTATCCTCCCTTCTGACCGTTAGGGATTTAACAACACTTATTGTTTGTTGTTGCATCCAGTGAGATGCATTAATTTTCACCACAGTTCTCTCGCTGTTAAGCTTAAAAAACTGTCAGGTGATAAAACAGAGAGAAATATTAAGACGGTGTGTTCTATTTCATAACATTGAAGTTAAACATTAAGGCATCAACATGAAGTAGAAGTTGTTGAGAGCCATACAATAAAACTTTAAGAAGAAGTCTGGATGGTTTGTAGGTCTTCCTCTTTGTATTCAGGACGGCACAGGGCCTGCCGTTAAATGCACAGAGCAGGGGGAGTGTCAGCGAGGCCCGCAGCATGCCAGCTCTTAAGTGACTGTGGCACTCAAAGATAATGAAGAACGATGATGAGGCCAAGAAGGGCATGTACCGGGCCTACATGCACAGAGAAAATCACCAGCAGCGCAGATCTACTCAAAAAGATTTAAGCTTTGCCCACAGTCTTGATTGCATGTCAGAGTGTCAAACCTCCGCCTCAAATTGCTACATCTATTCAAATGTTCTGCAGAGCAACATAAGTGTGTGCCTATAAAATCTGTCAGAGATCATGAAAGTGTTACTTAAATATCACTACCAAACATGCAACAACAAGAGAGCGAGAAATAGGTAAGTGTAAAATGTACAAATCTAAAATCAGTCACAATGAACACCGCCCCCCCAAGTCCGTCAGTTTTGATCTTAAAACATGCTTGTCATCTATTGTTCAGAGTTCTGTGCCTTTCCCAGTGATATTCTAACTAATCCTATTAAGGTAATCCACATGAAAACAACTTCAAGCACGATAGCAATGAGAAGCGCCTTTCCTTGCTGTTAATTTATGGCATATTAAAATGTGCAGAGAACCAAACTAATTAATGTGACTCCATCACCATTTCTTCATGCGACAGGAATGCTAAAGTGATACCTGCAGGATGGGAGTTTTGTTTGTGTGTAAGTCTGTGAGTGCTTCTATTGATATGTATTCAGCCAGTCTTTGATTTTTTATTTTTTTTTTTAAACCAATTGTTTCCAAGGTGCATAACTCAAATCCTTTATTCTCATTTGTATTGAAAGCTTATGGAGCTTATTTAAAGACTGGAAGAATAGAATAATAATGATCACAGAGCATTTTAAGAGTATTCTACTTGAAAACATTAGCATTTTTGTATATTTTAGCCTAAGAGTTTAATTAAAAGATTTTCCATTTTCCAGCGAGGCTCCCCCCAGAGGGCGAAAGTAAAAGTGCACTGTCGTAAATATGCACAGCTGTTCTCCTGGTTTCTCCGCGCGTCAAGGAGCAGCAAAAGGTCCGGCGCATTTTGAGCAGCAGGCGCAGTGCGTCTGAGCAGCTGAAGCAGCGCGTCGTGCGGGTTTAAGCATCTGACGCGCGTGATGCGCCGCAAACGCGCTGCTGCTCGAGATGGAAAACTTGAATTTTTGCTGCTCGACGCGCCGCGTCAACCAATCAGAGAAGCTGATCTGGAAGCTGGCAGGGAGAGAGACACAGCGCTGATGATCAGATATGATCACTCCTCTGAAACAGTTTATTGACGCCTAAATTAACTTAAAATGCAGAAATCTGCCGGCAGAATATGTTGGCTTTTATTATTCTGCTGCCTGCAGTTTGGATTATTTAGATGAAAAACGCCTACCAGCTGCCGCGGTGAACCGCGAGGAGGCAACCCGGCCAGAGGCTGCTGATGAAGGGATTCCTACTGTCGGCGCACCGCTGGTATGTGGGGGTCTGAGCGGCTCCGACAGAAAAAATATTTCAGGTGTATTTTCTCACATAAAAACAGATTAAAACTACTTTATTCCCACTGATCACAGCAACTATAGCTGCAAGGCAGAGAAAGGATAGTGAAGCTCCACCCAACGCGCGTCAGACACACTTTTGCACCGCGCAGCCAGAGCAGCAAAGCTGCTTTAGCCGCGCGTCAGAACTAACTGGTACAAGCAGCAAAAATGAAGCAGCAGACGCGATTTTGCTGCTTTTGCTGCGTCCGGTGTGAAAGCAGCACTGCACAAAGATCGCCACTGTGCTAGCCTGTGGGTGCGGGTCGGTGCTCCTGCAATTGCAAGTGCGGTATTTCCCCCACAGACCACCAGGGCGGCCGAGAACACCTTTGATCAACCTGAAATGACTCATTTAATCATCCAAAACGTTATGGAACACATTAATTAACTGAAAAATGTTGCATAGTGTGCCTTTAAATCACTATTGAAAACCGCTTGCACAAAGAATTTTAAGTGTTATTCTAGAGTCTAGTTTATGATTGATTTTATTATGTTGTCCTGTGTTTTTATATGTCTTACTATACTGCTGCCTCTTGGCCAGGTCTCCCTCGAAAAAGAGATTTTATCTCAAGGGACTTTCTGGTAAAATAAAGGTAAAATAAAAATAATAATAAAAATTCTCGAGGGTCTGCGATGTAATTTCTGGGGTGAAAGGTTGAAATGTTTGGGAACCCCTGCTTTAGAGGAGCAGCAGAAGTGGTCAGGTGGATTAACCCGCCATAACAACAATAAACAGCTTTAACTTTGAAAATCTAGCTTTTATTAAATAGTGGAAAGAAAATAAATGTTTGAAAGATCATCAGAAATTCAGTTATGATACATTTAATGGGAAAGACGCTTCTTGGGTCATTTTAAAGAAAAACTGACCTTGGGCTGTTGAATAAATCCCTGAAATATAACACTATCCATTATCATAAACATGGGAGAGTGGTGAGAGGGAGGGAGATGATCACAAGGTTATGAGGGAGGAAAGTTTATAATAAAGTTTATAATATGAGTTGAAATCAAAGCCTCTTCATGAGGTAAAGTGAACAAACTCTTCATCTAAATCTAATTCAGAATGTGTGGTACTACTATTTTTCACCATCTGACTGAGTTTGAGCAATTTTAAACAAATGTACAGACAAAATAAATTATAAAGCTTATAGTACATTTCTAAATCTCACTCTGTGGATGTGAAATGAAAATGTGCCAAAGCTTTTCTAAAATACAAAAGTTGAAACTGGTGCTTAGCAAAAATTTTACCCTTGGGTCAGAACAAATCCTTCCTGTAGGATCATATAAATATTTCTCTGTGGTTCCTCAAAGTAAAAACCTACAGGGATGAAATAAAAAAAATATATATATATTCTTGAGCTGACATCTGGCTGCTCCATGTCGAAACAGTAGAAGTTAAAATAAGGCAGAGGAAACAATACAAACTGATTCAGAGTCGATTTTAACATCTAGCCAAAGGTCTTTAATTCCCTGAGCTTCATACCAGCCCCTCCCCATTAGTATAGGCTCTGAACAATTTCTGCTGGTTAACAAATGCTGAGCGATGTGGATGGAAGGCCCTCGCACATGGGATTATGAATAAAACATGTTGCCCTTATTAAAAATAATCTGGCTCTAAAGTGCCAAAGGCCCTCGAGGTCGATAACCACCCCCTCCTCACCCAACCACCTCACAGGGTTCAAGGAAAAGGGTCCCTGATTAGCGTTGGCAACATCCAGAGAATGAATTCAGAGTCTGTATGATCCACCAGTCAATGTGTTGAGTGGAATTAAATAAAGCAGGCAATGATTGGTGCTCGGGGCAACACAAATGGGTTGGGGTGTTGTTTAAGTGCTGTAAGCTCAGCTCTCTGTTGTTCTTACCTGAGAATCTCACCCAGGCCTTTCAGAACGCCCTTCTTTGCTTTGTTCTTGTCCTTGTCTTTCTCCTTCTCCCCTTTCTTGATTTCCTTTGGTCCGCCCGTGGCGCCATCTTTCTGCTTGTCATCAGCCAGCCCGCCACCGAGGCTGAGATCGCCGCTGGTGGACATGGACTCCCGACCTGAAGGAAAGCTTTCCTCTGTGTCTTCATCCACTGGAAGGACAAAAAAACAGATCAGATGGGTTAACTTTACAGTGCTGAGAAAAATAAAATGCTGATTTTTTTTTTTTTTTGTTATATATTAGCCATTGTGTAACGTGTGCAAAAAAAAAAAAAGGTTTAATATCAGATTAAGTGACCCTGAGTACATTAAACACAGTTTTCTAATGATGAATATATATTTGGTGAGAAAAGGTTTCCCAACCAACTATGTAATTAGTGAATGAATGAATGAATGAATGAATGCTGTGATAGAACACGAGATGCTTGATCCTTTTAAATAGGACACAACTCAAATCCTCTACTGCATTTTGCACCATTTTTATAATGAATTGCACTGAACCTTTTCATATTAATGTGATTTTGCGGCATTATTTTTATATTGGTTTCATTTCTCCTACACTGTTTACATTCCGATCACTGCTGCACTTTGTGAATGGTGGTGTTCATTTCACTGTTTCATTTTAGTTAGCGCTAATTCACAGTTGAAATGCTGTATGCAATTGAATTTTGTTTTGTATACATACTGTGCATACAGTTTTTTCTAAGTCTGAGGCTGTGTCCGAACATCCTTCCTAATCACTGTATAGGGCACTATATAGCGGTTACTCCATTTTAAATGAGTGTCCAAACGTATACTGTAGTGGATGGAAAAGTAGTGGACTCAAAATCTCCCACAATGCACCTTGAAGAGTAGGGATCATCCATGGTCACTAGACGAGCAAATCAATCGCTCAATGCTTGGAGGGGTGAGGTCTCCTTGAAGAACATTATGGGATTTTCTGTCACAGCGGCCCACTGTCGCCATAGGCTGTTGCTACCTGATAGCCGGACTAACAACAAAGATACCACAGGCACCGGGTGGTGGAGGAGGAGTTACGTGACCAACCCGGAGCAAAAAGTAGTGATTATCTGTCTGAACGGTCAGTTAACTGAGTCCACTATATAGTCCCCACTCTATATAGTGGTTGAGGGATTTAGGGGTTAGGGCGTACGTTTGGACACAGACGAAGTCAAAGTCTGAATGAAGGAATTAATGAATGCTGGAAATGGCTGAACCTATAGTGCTGTTCTTAACCATAAAAATCTCAGTGAGAAAAATCATTTCAACATTAGAGCCATTGAAAAATAAAAAAAGAGGTCAAAACAAACTAGAAATTCCAATTAAAATTTGTTTAACCCTGTAATGCCAAATGTATCATATTTGATACATACAGTCTCTGAAATGTTTTGCGTCTGACACCTTTTGCATGATTTAAGGGTAAAAACTTTGCTCAAAATCCTATTGTACACAATGAGATATACCTGATAACAGAGGGCAGAAGACTACACAAAAAATAATTTTGACTTATCACATAGTAATAAATTATTAATATCAAAAATGTATTTCTGTTTTTTCTTTTTATATATTTTGTTAAAAGGCCAAATAAGGAATTCAAACAAAATAAAAAGTAATTTTCTGTTTTGTTTTATTCTCGGGTTTAAAGGGTTAAGGAAGGAACAAAAAAAAAAAGTTTTGATTGTCCTGGTCTAATGTGAATTAGACAAAAACCTGTGGCATTGATTTATTTATTTATTTTTTAAAAAGATTATATTTGCTCTTGTTATGTTTGTCATATAAGTTTATTTATTTATTTTTTTAGTTTTCTTATCCAAAACATTTAAGAAACAAAAATTAAATAAGAAAATCAGGTTTTAAAAAACTAATGTTAAAGCAAGACATTGCAGAATATAAAGTGCAAATACAGTAAATGAACTTTAACTTTTGGTTGACTCCCTATAGATTATTGAAGCTGCATTTTACATCAGCAGACATTTTAAGTTGTCTTTTACCATTTGGACTGCATCCCTCCTTTTTTGAGCAACATCAGAGAAGCCATAAAAAAACGTACAGAATATCTGAACAAAACACTGAATTGACTCTCCTCGTTAGAGCGGAATATATTTACATTGCTCACCCACTGAGAGTAGAGTTCACTGGAACATACTTTCTTAGTCGGGAGCCTGAAGTTATTTCAGTTGTGTACATTTCACACAGAAAAACTCCCCTTCTTCTGGAGCTTCTTATACATAAAAAGAGATCCAACTGAACACTAGCGTATGCATTAATGATAGTCAAGCGAATCTGATATTTAATTACGTCTGAACTAATTTTGTACCCGACATCAAACTCAAACCAAACTCCTTAGGTGCTGCAAGGTTGATTAAACTCAAAGTTTTCATCACATCTAATCAGAATCAATGTAGAAAATGTAATTAATCCATCACTAATTACTCATTTAAATAATCTAGAAGAAGGCTTCTGGGGGATGGTAATTACACATATGATGTGTGCTGAGCTTGGCACAGCCCCTGTCTGCTCTATCTTTCGCTCAGAGGTATGAAGTAGATGTTCCTCAGATCACGATGCATTACAGTCATGCATGTCATTGTTTAATTTCTACCTCTGATAGAAGAGAGAAAAGTGCTTATCATGAGGAAAGAAGACGGAGGAGGGACAAAAATATTTAGCAGCCTTAGGTTGGAAAGAGATTTTAAGGATGATAGGATTTCACTTTCACTTGTGATCTGTTGAGCAATCAGCTTTTGTTGCAGCTGCCACCTCAAAGGAAACTACTACTAAGGAATACTAACAGCAAGCAGAGAAAGGCAAGAACTGAAAGCAGATTAGCATCTTAAATCATACAGTTGATTTCTGCACAGGCCTCTGATCTGTTTACACAGGTTAATCTCACAAAATGAAAACATCACAAAAAGATGAATAATTAAGGTATATTATGCATCTATATTTAGATATTTCTATCTATCTATCTTGACTGAAATGATCACATAAGTTCTAAAACTGAACTGCTCAGTGTTACAGTGGGTAGCACTGCTGTCTTGCAGCAAAAAGGTTCCGGGTTCGATTCTTGGCCTGGGTCCTTTCTGCATGGAGTTCACATGTTATCCCTGAGCATGCATGGGTTCTCTCCGGGTACTCCAGCTTTCTCCCACAGTCCAAAAACATGACTGTTATGTTATTGGTTTCTCTAAATTCTCCTTAGGTGTGAATGTGTGCGTGAATGGTTGTTTGTCTCGGTGTTGCCCTGTGATGGACTGGCGACCTGTCCAGGGTGGACCCCGTCTCTCGCCCGTAGACAGCTGGATATAGGCACCAGCATCATTTGCGACCCCAGCTGGGATTTAGCGTGACAGAAAATGGATGGATGGAAAATATACAGAAAGAAACTTTATGCTTTTCTTTTTTTAAAGGCATAAAACGGACGGTTTTGATTGATTTCAATAAATGGCACAATGTCTTGCACTAATTTGTATGCAGTTTCTGGATAGGGATCTACTTTATCCTTCTGTCTGCCGCCTGCTTATCATCCACTTCAGAACAATGGCGGCAAGTAGCAGCTGTGAGCTCTATCTGGCTATTTAAATGAATGAGATTAGCAGTAGTGCTAATGTTCCTACTGCTGCCTAATGACGCTGAGCTGCAGATAACACTCTAAATATTTTAATCCAGAGCCTCCCAGAGGGCAGCCGACAAATGTGCATCTACGAGCCTGTCTGCATGCATCTGCATGTTGTTGTTTATGTTTAAGTTGATCCAATCTCAGCAGTCATCACACTGACACAGGGAAACATATTTCATTCTTTCACATGTCCTGACACTGCATTTCAGGTGTACCAAATAGATAGAGATTGCCTTTTGTACAAGTGCTTGGGTAGTTTTACTCTACGAAAAGGATAAGTCAAATCCTCCTGGTGAAAGGGTTCACAACAGTGAAGGGCATTAAGTATAATTCTAAGAGCTGATTGGGTACCTACCTCCCATGTCAAGCTTTTAGCCAATACTAGAATTATTGATTATTGGTCAGAAAGGTTGACAAGCTGACGACGCACAATGCATGAGGAAGTAGAAAACACAGCTGTTTATAATTTTGTCGAAGTCCATGAGCAACAGTCATTTCTTTCCAGTTTTTTTTTTCTGACAATCTTTTGATAGCTGTATTTATGGGCTAAATCAAAGTCTCTAAAGGTTTAAATCTCCCTGCCCTAGCCAATAGAAGCTGTTGTTCGCCAGTCAATTTTTTACACAGGAATAATTCTGCGTAGTTAAACATTTTCAGGTGCGCAATGGGGAAATTCAGTCCGCAGGGACGTCAAGCAGAAGGGTGTGGACGCCAAATATAACGTAATTTAAACCTTGAGGACGCATCAGGCATAAACCAAGCTTTAGGACTGAGATATGAATTGAATTAATGTTTAGGTTTCCTTTCTATTAGTCATACTTCTAAGTGTTTTCCTAGAACTTAACAGTTTCTAAATGGAACTCTACGGGCTTTTATGTTCCTAAATTTATTCTATATTTCATGTTAGTATTGGATGGGCCAATATATATTTAACTAGATTTCTCTCAAATGAGCTAAAATTGTATTAATTTTTTTAGATTTATTAACTGGTACCATTACTCTCAGTTATTGTTAATTGTATTGTGCATTTGTAGTTTTATCTTCTTCTAACTTTAGTTTTCTTATTTAAATTTGCAGACTTTACTTTTGAGATGTAGCATCAATAATTTTCCAAGACTTTTTTTTCTGTTCCAGTTCCCCTGCAGCTGTGCTCCTTCTTTTTCTTTTTATATGATTCACAGGAAATGGTTTTGCCCTTTAGATTCCCAGAGATTGACCATTTAATGTCAAAAACTTGATCCACTCTTGTAAAGAAAATCTTCATGTTTAAGTAATGATGAGTTAAATCTAAATGCCAATTAATGCTTCTGACGGATAGCCTCTACAACTGTCAAATCTGTCTCTGTCTCAAAAAAATCCTGACTGCCTGTCGTACAGTTGCAAACCCACAAAGACCTCAAGCGGAAGTGTGCAGACAACAAGCAGCTGTGATTGATCCTTGGTATGCCTTTCCGGCTGTCTGTGTGGTCGTCCTTTTTGATTTGGTGCCGGGGCGCGCCATTTTTAAAAACCAAGGAACAATGGACAACTGCAGCGAAAGGTTAATCGAGGAGGTTCAGAAGTAAAACCACTTTTACGATGCCTCTGACGAATTATATAAAGATGTCAAGGTCTCTGCCAAAATTAAGTTCTGGTGACAATCCGCCGAAGTTCTTGCGAGCTCTCGAATAGGCTCCCCATTGCGCTTTGGCGGGAAACTGCTGTGCATCCCTAGAAATTCCAGACCGACGGTGCAGAAGGATACCAGCAAAACTGGTTTGCAACCAGCCCCAAGCAACATTTGATGTGTGCGTTTGCAGACGTCTAATCTGCCCTTTAGATTTCTTTTTGCCTGTTGCCAGCATAATCACTGGTACATCGTCGCTGAAAAAAAATGTATTAATCTTTGCCTCACCGACCATCTTAATGACCAAGTTCTGATTAAAAGGAAATCAACTAATTTATCTGATGAAGGACTTGAAAGTCAGAAATCACACAAACCCCAGTCCTTCATAGGCTTTTTTTATGTATCAACTGTTCCAAGTTATGAAGTACGGATGATCTGTTGAGCTAAATCTTTGTTCAAAGTGAGGTTAAAATCATCTCCGTCACAAGTGCTGCACCAGTCTGAGTTAACAGAGGAAAAAAGAAAAGGTCAGTTTTGAATTCAATATATTTTTTGGCATCTACTATTTAATATAACACTGACATAAAGTGAGAAAAAACGAGTTATGTTCTATATAAAAGCAGACAAAAGCCTTTACTGTCAGACATCAGAAGGTGAGGCCATCCAGATTGATTTGATGGGACTTAAAAAGAAAAGCCCGGCAGTCACAAATCCTAGCAGAAAACCTTGATGAAAGTGTCAGGAAACTCAAAGATAATTTGCAACAGCAGACAACCATCGGAAACATTTTGTCACTTCTCTGAAATCAACCATTAAACTTTTATTCTATAATAATCATAGACCTTTAAGATGGCCTGTCAAGGAAGGTTGTGAGAGACAAGGTAAATTGCCCGTCTTTTTCCAATACATAACAGAAGCTAGGGATGATTTAACTTTTTTTTTTCTATCTTATTTCTTCAAACAGTACAACACAGAGCAGCACAAGAGGAAGTGCATTATGTCCAGCAGAATATCTTGTGGGGACACATTTTCTTGACGTGATGCCCCGTTCTTATTTTATGTAAATAAAAGTCTGGGAGCAGTGGAAGGCAGCGGCTTATCTGTCAACTCTGACTATTAACCTCAGTGACGAGCACGGGCTGGCTGCTTTTATCTAAATTGAAAAACAGAGTTATTTGAATATCATGGGGAGAATGCAATATACTGCAGCAGGGGAAATCGGTTGCTTTCCCCATTTTTCTTTGCAGAGATAAGGCTGTATTTAGTGGCTTGCCGACAAAGCTTATGAGAACAAAGCATTTCAGGCAAATAATTCCTTCTTTTTCAAATGTCCCTCAGCTCTTTTAATGGAATCCTTTAATGGTGAAAGGAAATTTATAACAAGTGATTACTCTTGTGGTGTGGCGGTGTTATTGCCTGTCAGAAACTGTAACACGGCTGCCTCTCTATTCTGTATATGTGTTGTCATCTCATAACAGTGCCTTGAAAAAGTTATCATACCAACTGAACATCCACAAAACTTCTTTGTTCTTAATGTGATAGATCTGCGTACTGTAGAATAATATATTTAGGAGGCCAAAGGCAGATTGTAAAGGGTTTTCTATTAAAATATCCGAAGAGTGTAAGAATTTGTATTCAGCTTTTTTTTTAATAATAATTGAACTCTATTGATCTCACACTGGAGATATCTATCAGTGTGGGGTCAAGACTGGCAGTTTGTGGGCATCGAACCAGGTACTTGCAACATTCTCGGTGCACTAACCACCCCAGTTAATTTATACCGATACCTCTAACTAAATATCACACAATCAGCTTTTTTAAGAAGCTCTTTAGAGGTAACTCTAAATCTTTTCATAACCTCAGATCAGCTTTGGGAAGGGATCCAAACTTCATGATTAAACCACATTTTTCACAATGGGAATGTTTGATAGTGAGTATGATAAAGAGACAGAGTGCTAGTTTCCCAACACACAGAAAATTTGGCAAAAAAAAAAAAAACAGCTCAACAAATTTGAGGTGTCAAAAGATTTAAACTGGTGCTTATTCAAACAATTATAACAAGTTCTGGCATGTATTAGCCATCAACTTGAATGTTAGCAACTAATTTCATTATTTTTGTATTGTTCTTTCTACCCAGTCTAAGGAGAGAAAAAATGAAGAAGGTTTTAGAGGACAAAACCTATTTATATAGAAAAAAGTATTTTTCAGGAACTGAGGAGCAAGATGTAGAGGATTTGTTTTGTACAGAAAAAAAGATATATTAATTTGGAATCTATTGTAAAGGGCCTAAACACACCCCTAATTTAAGATTTAGCGTCTGATCTAACAGAAAATTTGATCATATGAGGTTGTGGGACTAAGAGTTCATTGAAAATAGGTGCAGGTCTGAGACTGGTCTCACATACACAATTTGCTGTAATTATGCTTGTGTAGCACCAACTGTGATAGACTGGTCCATTTTGTCCAGACCTTTTAGCAATTCAGTGGCACTTTCATGCAGGGATACTCAAAAAAGTATCGATACTGAAACGTTGTATCCGAATACAATACTCGTTTTTAAAAGTATCGATACAGTGCTACCACCAGTGGCACCTAAGCAGTCATTCATCTAAAGTGCAGAATAGAGGATAATGCACTTTCAGAACACTGTGTGATTGAATAATTCTGTGCACTTTTCAGTTTCAGACTTTTTTTTTCAAAGAGGTGCAGCTGCTGAGAATTATTTTTGTTTCTTAACCGGTTTAGCTAGTGTTATTGTTATGTGTGCAAAGCATAGTCAAGGAAGGAACACTTAATTTTAATTTTATAAGTTTTTTATCAAGCTTGCTTAATATTGTGCACAGCATACAACCTTTATTGTGTTTATTTATTGTATTTTATGTATTAATGAAAATATTTCTGTAGAATTTTGGAGTCTTTGTTTTTATCCTTGTGGTATCGAAAATGGTATCGAGTATCAAATATTTTCCTTAGTATCGGTATCGAGTTGAAAAGTATCATGACAACCCTACTTTCATGAGTCTGACATGGAAGAGAAATATGGTGGAAAAGTAAAACAGATCTGTTTTACTAAAAAAAATACAAAGTAAAATCTCTGACACAAAAGGTAAACCATCCATGTTAGCCTTGTTTGAAGCAGCAACTCGGACATAACCAATCATAAAATATTTGGATAAACAGTGTACTTCATCCATGGTAAGAGCTCTGGAGGACAGAAAACAGATAAATCAAAAAAAAGACCTCTGGTCACTAGACGAGCAGAGCTATTCCAGAATGCTTTGAGACGCCTTCTTGCAAAGCATCATGGGATTTGTTTTGGGGTACTGTGTGGGGGAGCCGGAATCACGTGACAAACAGGGAGCAAAAAGTAGGTCCGAAAGGACAGTTCGCTGAGTTTACTTCAAAGTCTCCACTCTATGTAGTGGTTGAGGGGTTGGGTGTTAGGGTGGATGTTCGGATAAAGTGATAATTTTGATAATATTTTGTATATACAGTATTAATCTCTTTTAATTTCAGGACAATGTGCACAGGTTGGTCATAAAGTAAGGTGCTGCTTTGTATTTTGATTGAGAGCTGACTCAGCTCTTTCCTAACCCGGTAAACTTAATTTTTACAGAACTTTAAACACAGAATAAGCCATTTATCAGAAATTTCTGAGTCTCAAAAAATAATTTAATTAAATTTGACCCACTCAAATGCAGGACATTTTTTTAATTTGTGGGACATAGGTAAAAAATAAAATGCAGCAAAGATCTGCAAACTTTCAAAAGAAAAAAAAAATTGGTATCTGAGCTTTCAGTTGGACGCCAGAAATGTCATCTGGCCTTAACATTACTAAAATCTTAAGTATTAAGTCAAAATTTCATTTAAAGTTTACATTACATGATATTTTACCAGCCTTTTTAAATCAATAAGTTTAATCATAGGATACAGAGCACCAATCACCGTTATATAGTATAGATATGTACAGTAATTACTCACATGTCTCAACGCTGTTCTCTTCCTTTGCTATGAAATCACGCTGCACATAGGATTTGTCTATAGCCACCCGGAAGCTCTCGTTGCAGACTCGACTCCTGATGATCCTTGAGGGCATCCTTTGGATGTTGAGCTCTTCGTTCATTATAACCTCAGCAGCAGGGTTGTGGAGACTCTCCATGGAGCTGGACTTTTTTAAATCAGGGGAAGCTCCAAATTGTCGCTCTTCAGAACCTGTAAAAGATTTCCCAGAGTTTGTTTTAGTTTTTATGTTGCAAAAATGTGAAGAATTCCTAATCAAAATTTCCCCAAATAGGGTAAGTCAATGAACAAAGACTGACTTCATTTAGATAATTTATTTACCTAAATAAATGAACCTAAAAAAATGATAAAATGATATATACATTTAATATAAATTAATAAAAGATAAATTATTTCATGATGAGAACTACTAACATAAAGCTACCAATAACATATTAATGTATAATATTATGTTTAGTTTTGATATATACAATAGCTTTGAATTTTTATCTAGTATTATTCTACAATTCTTTTCATTTAAACATTTTTTATTTATTTTGATGCTCCCAAAGAAGTGTTAAAACCCTTTTAAGACAAGGTGACATTTCAGTAGCAAGACAATTCAAGTGCTGTACATAGAAAAAAAATTAAAATAAACATTACAGGAAAACATTACTGTGACATAAAGGTAAATAGATAATTAACCCTAATTGATACAGAGAATAAAATGAACAGTTAAGAGGATGTTTATATGAAGATATTATGATAAAATGGTTAATAAGGGCACATTCAGAGGCCACTCTGAACACATTTCTGATCTTTACTTAAAGCAACTGAATGTTTCAGTGCTTTTCTACTTTTCTCAGAGTTTATCAAAGAATATCGGTGCATCTGCACTAAAAGCTGATTCTCTCTGTTACAAAAAGTAGACTTGGACTAGAAGACTTGAGCAGTTTGGTTGGTTAATATACTGACAATAAGTCTGTAATGTGCTAACTTACTAAGCCACTCAGTGATTTATAGACAGAAATCTTTTTAAAGTCTATTTTTCTGGGACATGGGAAGCCGCTGTACTAACTTTAGACCTGTGGTGATATGCTCCAATGTCTTCAATTTAGTGAGGTCACCAGTAGCAAAAATCTTCAGTAAGATATTATCACTAAGGCCGTTTAAAAACATAATTTTTTCTGCGCCACAGCTTTACAGATATGTTCCTAAGATTTAATATTTAAAAGATGCTCAAAGAGAATGTATATCTCTTTTACCATGTTATGTGCTAATAAAAAAAAAAAACATGAACTGTTAATTGTGTAGAAAACATTTTACCTCTTGTGCCAAGTTACAAATGGATATAGAGATAATTTTTTTTATATATTTTTTCAAGTGTGTTGTTTGGATCATAAATGCAGGGCTACCTTTGGGTGTCAGGGGATGATTCGTAACCTCTGTATAGGGCCCTATATAGTGATTAGGGCGGACAGTCGGACAGTCAGCCCCAGCTGCGGGGGAGAGAGAGGTCATGCAGCTTGCCAGCGAGGGGTAGACCCAGCTTTTTTGCCAGTGGGAAGGAAGTCAAATGTCGATTCTTAGCAGTTTGACCCATGCTTGAAAAACATGCTTTAACGCCATATTTTCAGTGGGAAAGAGGCTTTAGAGGCCATGATATAATGTATGCTAATAAGGGTATTATAAAAGAGGCAGCATGTCATTGAGCTTCTTAGATTGTAAACTTTACTGTTATCCCTTCATTGGTTCATGGTGGTGAAACTGAATGTCTTCTAGAACAGATTTCTTTTTGATAGTGCATGTTTAGGTCTCCGTCACACATGCAAACAATTTTTGCAGAGCAGAAGAAACGGGATCAATGTCATGTTTAAGGTCATCTAAATGAGGCATGTCCAACCACCACCGGTGATTACACGGATCTTTTGGCAGAGGAAACAAACCGTCTGAATATATGAGGAAAAATGTGTTGTTGAGGAAAGCCAACCTCTAAACATGTCTCTGCCAGGTTTTTCACATTTATGGACTAAATATTTGCTCACTTTAAATATTCTTAATATGGTCGTCTATTGTTAATAAATTCTTATTGAAACAGAGCTTTTTAATCTCGTTTCAGTGCTGCTTGTTGACAAAAGATCAGCTGCAGCTGGTTTGAACAGTAAAGCTTTCACTACCTCCCATTGTTAAGAACAACTTAAATCAATTGAGCTAATGATATTAAGCCAATGTAATGCAAAGGCACTAAGAAAAATAACTGCACTTGTGTTAAAAGCATCCAAACACCACAATTTTGCACAAAAACTGGGAGGGAGCTACAGCTGTTTACTGGATGGGAAGTGTTCTACAGGATGACATGGCTGGCTGTTGGCTTCAGGGCAGTTAAGTTAAAACTGGCAGTTGATTAGTGCAGTTTGCCTGCAAGTAAAGTTTGGCCTCTTGGCAGGTTTGCATTTTTATCACACTTTTTTATTATCAAATAATGGTTTAAATAGAGCCTCCGTGAGATGTTCAAAGCTTTTGAATATTGTTTCATAACCCAAACCTTGCCAAATCATTCATTGTCATGCTGTTTGGTCTGTAATGCTCCTCTACAAACCTCTGATAGCTGGATATACTCGGGCAAAATTAAACACAGGGACAGAGGGATATTGTATTAACTAGTAAGGTGACTGCTTACAGCAGCCTGTTGCATTGGATTTTATTTCAGGTAATCACAACAAAGAGATTTATGTACCCTAGGTACAGTAATAACCTGTGCCATAACCCTGTTAAATAAGAGACTATATATATGTAAAAAAAAACAATATATATATATATATATATATATATATATATATATATATATATACATATATATATATATACATATATATATATAGTATACCCCATGCACTTTTTCCTTCTTCTGGCACCTTCTTTTTGACTATATAGCCAATGTGACAAGTACATTTCTCCACTCTGAGATCAATAAAAAATATCTTATCTTAGCTGCTTCTTTTTCTGTTTATTTTTTTACTTTAACTAATTGTTTTGTTTATCAGTCAACAAATACACACCATCTTGAGATGTAATGTGATTAAACATGTGATGCAGTGCATCTCATTATATTTAATCAATGAATTCCAAACTCTGTCTTTAGGAATTCTTGCAGACTGTTTTTGCTTTGTTTGCTTAACACAGGTGCTTAGTGAGGGAATGAGAGTTTCACCGCCATGTGTGCCAGGTATAGATTTAAGTGTCAAACAAATCTGATGGCTGAAAGGTCAGCTGCTCGCTGCTGTTGCATTTTCAAAAGAACATTGTAATACTGTACACCATTAACACAAATCTTTTTTGTTAATGTTAATCCGGCCTTACAGCCGTTGCAGAAAGGGACATTTTACAAAGTAAAAGACAATACTGCAGCACTGCAGTGTTATTCACCCAAAACCTCAAGCTGATCAGAATTATTTCTTAATTATTGTTTGCCATTTAGAATAGTCGTTTAATGATACAGTTAGTTAAAGAACATTGTATGTTTTTACTGTTTTGGGACAGAGTCCTAGAAGTACATGAATAGATTTATAGGAGTAAAAATAAAATATGTACGGTGGCCCTGAAGTGCAAACTGCAACTACAAATCTAAAAGCGCAACTACATTAACAAAATCGCAACTACATAAAGCAAAGCGCAACTACATTAAGAAAAACAAAAATAGCAACCGGACGTCATTCTGCCTGCTGCGGCTTCTGAAAACATGGATATTGTCAAACATAGCTGCCGTTATCCAGGAATATTTTGAATCAGGACATACGTACGAGGTGAAACTGGATATGCTCAAGACTAATCACGAAATTTCAGTTAGTTTGCGTACACTGAAGACACACTTAAAAGAAGCTGGACTGTTCAGACGACGCAACTTCCGGTTCAAGGGTCAAACGGCGCCGTCGTCCAATCAGCGATGTCTCGTGTTTCCCACTGGTACCTACCTTTTCCGGTAGGTTAATGTAATTGTGTTTTCCTTAATGTAGTTGCGCTTTGCTTTATGTAGTTTTGTTTTTCTTAATGTAGTTGCGTTTTGCCTTATGTAGTTGCGATTTCCTTAATGTAGTTGCACTTTTAGATTTGTAGTTTCAGTTTGCACTTCAGGGCCACCATAAATATGGCATCCTTCCTGCATAGTGTCACCAACTTAAAAGCATGTTGACCAAGTAGGGAATTTCCAAAAAGGTGTTAGCTCCTTAACGTTTCACTATTATAGAGACAATTTATAAAGTTGAGGTTAGTTGAGAATTTCTTGGAGATCTATTAAATTCAACTCAGTTTATTTATATAGCCCCAACTCACAGTTAATCAGATCATCCAGTCAAATTGATTCAAAGTTTTCTATCCAAGGAAAACCAGTAAATTGCATTGACTCATTGACTGGAAACATGATCTTACGATAAAGTTATTTTTCAATGACTTTTTTTTCTTAATCTGGCTAATTATTTTGAAAATAAAGACTGCCTTTATTTTATCTGAACAGTTCTTTAGCTAGGAACATGGTAAATACTCTATGAATCTCAGACAGTGTAAGTTTTAATTTAAAAAAATAAAAACCCCAGCTACATAAAATCTTCTCAAAAACAGCTAAAAAAAACTGTTTTATTTTTAGTTTTTTAAATAACAGACGCTATTCTAAATTCCACTGAATTCACACAGTGCCCATTGAAGGAAGCCAAATGACATCTGCTGTACTTGTACAGGGAATTATCCCTCTGCTTGGTATTCTGCCCTACAATCCCACTCATCATTGTTTCTGGTCACCGCTCTGGATGACTGAGAGGAGCAAAGATGCAGTGAGAATGGGTGAGCCAAGCAAAGAGAGAGTTTGTAGACAGACCCAAATGCCTCCAACCTGCCTTTGTTTTCAGCCCTGGCTCTCCTGGGAGACTTTGACGGACAGCTCTCTGTATACCAGTCTATTATGTGATTCCTATCACACAACGGGAGCCCCACTGCTCCGCTGCTCATCTCCTTTGTATTCGGAAGGGAAGAAAATACATATTCCCCATTTGCATACAGACATGAGTTTGCCACTCCCAACACGTCTGGGGGAGAAATTAAAATGATCAGAATGGGAAAAGAAGACAATCACATCAAACGGAGGAAAAGTGCACCTTGAAATGAATCATTGCTATAAACAAAACTGTTCTTTCGCACTATTGAGGCCAAGGACAGTTAATCGG